ATAAATGACCCAGCCAAGAGACTACGTCATATACACTTATAGGGACACTAATAGGAAAGGACCTCATCTGCCAAGTATATGCAATCTGCACACCTTAATCAGTATGGATCCCAGTTCAGGTGTGAGGTGTGTAGAAGTAAGGTGTGATTACATTTCATATGTGCTCAACAACTTCCAAAGCTAACCCATCACAGGAGGAAAGCTCTGCCTCAGTAAGAATACAGTTGGCAGGAAAGGAGTACAATTAAACAAAAACTGTGAACAAGAAAGACATTGTAAATGACAGTCAAATGGCAAAAGCCAGAACAAGGAAGGAAACCCAAAGAGGGAATCCCTCACACACAGTCCAGGAACAGGTATTCTTCTTAAGAAATAAAGAACTATAGAAAGTTCAAGTAATAAAATCTCAAAAACGTAACAGTGAGAAAGAGAAGTGGAAGCAGTCCTGCCTTTCCTTCTGCATACCCTGGCATAGAAAAAACAGAATCTCACAGCAAAGCATCAGCACAACAGAGTTGTATTCCAACCCATTCCAATGTTCCATTTCATACACCGAAACTTTTAAAGATCAACACTTAAATAGGCAAAGGCAAGGGTGGTGAATGGCCAAGACGACAAGAACACAGCCCCACTGAAAAAGAGGAGGGGAAGATAACTCAGTACCACTATTTAAGGGTCAGCAAAGATGAATTTCAGAAGACTGATAGAAAACAGAGGCAGAATGAGAAGCAGGAAAGAATGGAAGAGAAAGGACTTGACAATCACATCAATATCAAGGAGCAGGTCTGTGTGACCGGAGATGTCCCATTAAGAAGAAACAGCTAGTCTATACAAAAGACAATTTGCTGATGACAGAAAATTAAGAGGCATGGTCAAAGAAAGAAGATAAAAGGGATACCACACAGAGAAACTGGTGACCTCAAGGACTGGAGCATCCGGAACAAAATGAAATGCAATTAATGCTAAGTTACTCTAACGTATGAAGTTGCAAAGTTACAAAATTTATGAAACAAGCTGGATTTATAAACAGTTGAGGAAAACAAGACTGAAATGAGATTAATTTGACACAGCATTTAAAAACATAGGTCTACAAACCTATATAAGGAATTTATATAATGCAACTGCTTGTGGTTGTATAGTGTTGATAACCTAGGACCATAACTCTGGGAGAGACTTCACAGAATGGTTGAGGTTGGAAGGGACCTCTGGAGGTCATCTGGTCCAATCCCCCTGCTGAAGCAGGGCCACCTACAGCCGGTTGCTGAGGACCATGTCCAGACAGCTTTTGAATACCTCCAAGGAGGGAGACCACAACTTCTCTGGGCAACCTGTGCCAGTGCTCGGTCACCCTCACAGTGGAAAAGTGTTTCCTGATGTTCAGTGGCAACCTCTCGTGTTTCAGTTTGTGCCCACTGCCTCTTGCCCCGTCACTGGGTATCACTGAAAAGAGCTGGCTCCATCTTGTTTACACCCTCCCTCCAAGTATTTGTACCCTATCAGAAAGAATCCTTCTAAGCTGCTGGTGCTGCTGTTACAAGTCTCCCTACACCAACTCCTTACAGAAGCTTTTGTGATTTGCCAAAACTGTTAATAGGTGGTATGATAAACACTTATAGACAAGTTTCAAAAACTCTAGGCCCTGAACTAGTTTTTCAAAATTGTGCTGACTTAATAAAATAACTTTTCTGGGAAAACGTAACATCCTAAGAATAAATATTTAATGGATAAAATTGCACTGATTTTCAGTTTGGTATTGCCGACTGAAATTAAACCACGACAGTCATAAACTATTTCACTTTTGGGAAATACAATGGCAATCTGCAGCACTTTTCTCCTTTGCTCTTGATCTTATAACTATTCCATGCCGATTCTCAGCAGTTAACTCTATTGTGTTATGAAAAAAAAAAAAAAATCACACTTGAATAGTAGCTGCTAACTGATATTAGAAGCAATATGTGCATCAGCTACAAAGTGCCAGAGGAGCATCCTGTCCCTGTGAATCATGATAGCCAGCTTCATTATTTAAGAATGTTTAGCAGAGAACTCAACACTGGTAAAGTCCTTCAACTGTCTTCACATAAGTCATTCCTAGAATTAGGAGTCTGGGAGTTGGGAATGCACTAACTGACTAGGCAGTTCACCAACACAGACCCAAATACAGGGGAAGGACTCAGAGGTACATGTAGGCTGAAAGAACAAAAATGGAGAAGAATCAGACCCTGCCAAGGCTGCGATTTCACTGGGAAGGGAAGGTCCTCAGACCAATCCAGGATTGTACCTCATGGCTGTACATATTCACTCTGTGCTACCAAATGTACAAATTAGAAATATACAGGAAAAAGATCAAGGTTGGTGCATTTGCCTAGGCTCTCACAAAATCAGCTGAGCGACATATCCAGCCAGCATGACTGATGAAAACACACCTCCCACTTTTGAGACACTCTCCCTTGTACAGTTAGGTGTCAGAGGAGCGCTATACAAATGCAATGGTTGCTTCATGCTACCAGCTGCAAGAACAAAATCTTTAAGTGAGGCCTATACTCAGAAACATGGAAAAGCACAATGACACCTGAACTAGTACCCACACTGCAAGTACTGTGGTCACGGTGGCTGTACCAACTCCTCTGCTGCTGAAGTAGACAGCATATGGGTCTACCAGTCTAACAGACAGAGCTAGATTGCACAAACCGACTCATTTTAATCCTTAATAGAAGCCTACTTCAACTGAATGCCTTGCACTTTGCAAAACATTCTTCATGTTAATATTTATTTCTGTCACATATTTTATTTCTACATTGCATTTCAGGTTGTCCAAAAGGCAGTAATTGAAGTGGATGAAGAAGGAACCAAGGCCACAGCAGCTACTGGGTCAGAAATAACTGCATTCACAGTGCCTCCTGTCATCAAGGTGGACCGACCGTTCCTTTTTATGATTTTTGAAGAAACTTTTAAAACATTGCTGTTCATTGGCAGGGTGGTTGATCCAACAGAAATGTGAATAAAGGTAACAGTTTCTATTCTGTGGTATGTAAGAGGCTTTATTTCTATTTTATTAATTTACATCAGAATAAAAAGGACAGTGAAATATGAAAATGTGAAAACCTGTTTTGTCTCTCCAGCTAGCAGTAGGTCATCCTATTAATATTTTATTAATGCCCAAGTGACAAGCTAAATTCACTAAGGCACAAAGTGACAAAAATGTGTTTTGTAAAATCTACTATGCAAATTAAAAAATCCCCACAGAACTGAACTTTCAAAATTCAACATGTTAGTGAAAAGCGTGAATGAAAACCAAAGACTCATATGCCAAAATATTCAGGAAGCTCATTCCCAAACACTGGAGCTTGATATTCCTCAATGTTATCTTCAGTTGTGATGAGACTTAAGAGCCTACTGACCTCGATGTTAGCAGAATTTTGACAAAATGTTTCAGAAAAATATTTCCATGATCTAAATACAATTAACCTTATTCAAGTAGTGCAGTTTCTGATTTCAACAGAACAGCAAAATCTTTAACATTTAGTAAATTTTAATTAGCGGCAGAGCCCTATATATAAAGTTTGAAATAATGCAAAAAGCTACTTCTAGCTATATATAACAGATCTAAGCATTACTCTACTTGCTTACACAGCCTTCACAAAATAGCTGCCCAAAAGGGGGCAGAAGAGTTTTCAAAATCATTTGGCATAGAAGCTTCAAAGGTGTCTATCAGTAAACGCACGTAGACAGATGCATCCACAAGAGAAGATACAAAAGATACATTACAGGGTAAAGCTGGTGAACATTTCTAAAAATCACCTCACTTACTATTAGATGTCTACCCACAGCAACCCAGACACTGGTGTAAGCCACACAAAAGGATTTAGCAGGCAGACTGTGGTATCTGACTAGATGACAAAGGTGCATCCAACCTAACTCCACATTGCAGTATGAAGGTACCCAGAAAGAAAGAGAATCACTCCTTCCTGCCTCCAAATGATTAATAGGAAGAATGTTGCTACAAAGAACCACTCAGTTATCACTGTATAGTTGACCTCCAGCTGTTATTCTGAGTTGCATGTAAAAACAATGCTATGAAGGGTTCAAAAGTATTGGTGCTGTCCAACAGAAGTAACCCAGAAGTAAGCTGCCCCAAAAAAAGCTTGCTGGGATGGAGGTCTGTAGTGTGAAGGACTGATGAAAGCATACACAAGACAGCAGGAGTTTTGTACAAGGAAGATGTGCAGACCAAAAAATGTCTAAATAGAGCATTTAAAGATTACATAGCAGGAATTTAATACGTTGTAGGGTTACTGAGTGGAGCACGTGTTATCAGCATTAAATTAATCAGTTAAAAATGACAGACAAATGACAGTCAATAAGAAACAAATGACAGACTGTATACAGAACTCATTACATGCTTATTAAGGGGAGAAATAGCTTGGATTCAAGTTTCTGAACTTACTGGCTGTTCTGCATTGCTCTAGTAAAGGCATCTGAGGGTCAAACACAGTTTTGAGTCCTGTCCTGCAGCTGGGTACTGCTGATCTGAGTTTGGTCCCTGGCAGAAGTCAGACTGAGAACAGATTGAGCAGCCTCCTGTGGTCCATGGGTGAGCAGCTGTAGCTGGCACATCGAGTTAGTTGTCCCCGGGGACCTGGGAGTATCTGCTTTTGTTAATGAGACAAAAGCAGAACCTGGGAGAGCCAGCACAGGTTATCTGTATATCTGCATCAATATTGCATGTTAAATATCACAATACTTGAAGAAGCTTTTAAAGAAATCTGTGATTTTCAAGATCCTATGCCAGGCTGCAGAACAAACTGAAAACTTGAATGTTTCCACAGAATCCAAACAACGTCTGTGACTAAAGACAGAGAATACACCTAAATCCAACTGCAGCATATGAAGCTTAAGAATTCAGACAGTAAAACACTGCTTTGTACACATTTTGTACTTCACACAAGACAGCATACATCCAGCATTATTACTATTTAAAAGAAATACCTTCTATAGGTAAATGCTTTTATTTATTTTAATTATAAAAGATGCCCTGAGAATTTTTTTTTCAAGAACATGCATGTACAGCATTGTCCTAGGTTTTATTTCGAGTAAATCATCATTTGTATTTTTACATTATAAAAAGTAACCACACACACATATGCATTCACAGATCAGATCATCTTTATCATACACCAATAAATTGTAAAAATCACATATTTCTGATATCAATATATTTATACTGCTTCCATTTTGAAATAGAGAAGCTGACAATAGCTTCATAGGCTCTCTCAAGTATTGGCATAAATAGAACTTTTTAAAATAGAATCGCATGTTTTTCCACAGACAAATTTTGATAGAAACATTAGCATTAATACAAACAAATGCAGATGACATCACTAAAGCATGATAGCTTGCAATAGCAGCTGGTTAAAAACTAGATTCATCATTATAAATTATTCAAGTGAAAATACAATCTGAAATACTAAAAATTAAAACAAGTATTTATACAACAAAACTTACGAAATAAAATTATTTTTTATATCATCTGGCGACATCTGCTTTTAGATTGCTTTGAAACTTACACAGGATTTTTATGAACTTTACTTAGTACTTGTAAAAACGTTACCTCCAAATTCACAGCACAATGCTACTGAAGTTGATTTTTTTATAGACTGATCAATGGTTCTGGACTTTGGTCTTAAATTAGGTTTGAAGGTTCTTTAAAATGTGGGATTACTTTTTCATATTCATAACAATTCCTTCTCTTTCTTGCATAAAAGATGGGTGCTAAGAATTGCTAAAATTGGAAATAAGCCAATTAAGTAACGGATATGTGCATTCTAAATCCAAGAATTTGAACTACAAAGGCATAATTGAAGAAAACAAAATCCTCTCTTTAGCTACAGCAGTTAAGAGCACATAGCTGAAGTTATATTTCATAACATTTCACTACAATGTTAGAATTCTGCAACCATTACATTACTTATTGGAACATATTTTACAGCTTGGGTTTTTATTTAAAAGATAAAAAGTTTTAACATTGCAAGATGCATTGTATTCATTCCAGGCATTAGAGAGTCCCATCTGCCGCTCCCACCTTATCTCGCCGGAACGTTGCTTCCACCAGTCTCTGGTTCCCTTCTTTTTCTGTCAGAAGTTCTAGGAGTTTGATTTTCTGTTTTTTCTTCATACAAGAGAAGAAACACATATAATATGTTGTTGCTATATTATTAAATAACATAACATCATAAACTGCTATTGCATGCAACATTTTAATATAACTCTTCGCTGCTGTACTTTAAAAATTACTAGCTGCTCTACTGCACCCACTGAAAAAGCCAAATGGACACATTCTGAGGGCATTCTTCACAAGAAGGGTGTATCTCTCCATTAAGTTTTCTACAGGTGGTCATGTAGACATCCCTCTAAGTGAGATGGTTAAGGTAGTACAAGCAGTCTACTCATGGCTACAAATAACGCCAGAGGTCTCCAGCTTAACCCATGATAAAATCTGGGGAAAGTGGAGATGGGGAAGAGAGAGAAGCTTAGAGCTCTTTACAGTGTTATTTCTAGGTCTTCTGTTGATCATGTCACTTGGGCAATTTCTGCACCTTTCGTAGCCTTAATTTTTTAATCTTTAAATATATTGTTCTTCAGCTTCGCAGAGTTGTAGCTATGTCAATTAACAACTGTAATGGTCAGAGATCTTTGGAAGAACAGGACTTAACTTTTAGTACTCTGTGGAAATATTTGCATCCATATTTTATAATATCATTTACAAACAAAGCAAGATACTGTTCTGTTTCACCCTTTTAAAATTGCTGATGGAATCTTTCATGATAATACACCAGTGTTAGGATACCTACTAGCTTTGTCTTAGAAACGGCACCTAAATCACATGCCAGTCCCACTGGACCTCAGAACTCTTACCAGCAGAAGGAAAACATGATTAGAAGCTGTAAGTAACCAACTCAGTGTAGTAGATCAGTGGCAGAACTACTTCGTCTCGTGCTCGACTTCCTAAGCAATTATATGACGGGATGAAAGACACTACTTTAAGATACTTATATGCATATAATTGTTACAACATGGTCACACAGTAGTGTGGAACTGGACCTCAGAACTCTTACCAGCAGAAGGAAAACATGATTAGAAGCTGTAAGTAACCAACTCAGTGTAGTAGATCAGTGGCAGAACTACTTCGTCTCGTGCTCGACTTCCTAAGCAATTATATGACGGGATGAAAGACACTACTTTAAGATACTTATATGCATATAATTGTTACAACATGGTCACACAGTAGTGTGGATGTCTTAAAGGTCTGTTGTGGACATTTTATAAAATACTGGTATCAATTTATTATTAAGAAGTTTATTTCTATGCAACAATAAATCTACTCCCACTTTTTACAGGATGGAAAACTATACACCCTGTTCTTGAACTAGGTTTTAATTGAAAGTGAAATAGAATCAGGCACTATCTGTATGTCTATAGGCAAGATGCAAAATTCTTAAATGCTGTCTATAAAGCTGGATATTTTTATTGATGAATCTATAAAGTTCTGGAAAACAGTTTTAACCAATTGCATATTGAAATCAGTCATATTACAGTAATGTAAACTCAAGCAAAACAGCAATTCTCATCCTAAAAGAAAATACCTTAATCTCATAAAAACAAAACCATTTAAAAGAAGATAATAAAGCTACATAGCATAATAATACAAGATTGGACTACTTGATGGAATGCAGTGTTTATGAATCATGTCAATTTCTGCACTAGGATGATTCATGATCTAACTGGCAACTCTTCGACAGAAAATCAGAAAAGCATGTTTGCTTTGCAAATTGACTGAAGTAAGGTCTCTCGTGGGATGAAATACTCAACCAGTGCTCTTTGAGATTCTTTCCTATTCCATAAGGTGCTTAAAATCAGGTACTCATCTCTTCTGTGACTCCACCATTAAGTTATACGGGTTATGCAACTTCAGCATAATTCTTGCATTTCCTATTGTATGAGTATTACCTAAGGTCTAGCAAATGACACCAAAGCTAATGGTCATTTTCTTGTCACCTGCTTGTGAGCAGTGGATCAGGATTTACTGAGATTTTCTTTTTCTTGCATATACATTATTTTTAAAAAGAGGGAATATTTTAATTGACAGAAATATCTCTGAAAGGGGATAAACAAAATGTTTGAACTCATGAGTATGGTTAAGTAAAGACCTCAGTTCTGCACCAAAGTAACTTTGGGTTTTGAAAAGTTCCTGGAACATGAATATATGAAATCAGAAATACTTCATCCCTGCAAACTGCACTATATTGTCAAAAGTGAACATTTGCCAGTATTCAGTAGAGCAGTTTTATGGAAAAGATTACACTTAAGCAATTAAATAATATTTTGTCTAAACATACATCACTTTGGACTAAGAATCATTAATTATATCTATTGATATTTTAATTATTAAACAACATATTACTGCCCAATCTTCCATTCTTCACAAACACAAATAATTACTTAGAAAAAGAAATATTTTAGAAATTACCTTACTCATGTTGCAGAGCCAATAAACTAAAAGCTAGGACTTGCCAGAATTAAGATGGTCAGTGCCATGTTTAACCAGCACATACATAAATTTACATGATGATATAGTCTAAATATATATTCAATTATTATTTTCTCACAAGTTTCCTGCCTTAGTGAGTGCATAGATGGTGACACTCATTCATGAGCATTTATTCAATTGCAACTCTCGTGGTACAATTCTCAAATTCTCCTCTCAGTGTCATTTCTGTCAACTGCTTATATATTTGGATACTAATTTTTTCCATCATTCAAGTCAGAAAATAATGTCTCCTTGGAACTGACTTTTTTTGTATTTTAGTATGTGTATATTTAGCACCAGGACTGACTTTCTGAACAAAAGATAAAAGAAGTACACCTAAACATATCTGTCATGAACAAGGTTATGCGGATGAATGCATTTACCACCAACCATTCCTGTATCTCTTCATATCTCCTCATAGAGCTGATCCATTTTTTATTAAAACAATTAAGTATTGGACTAGATTACAATAGAGACATTGAATCTACAGTGCAGCAGATATTATACCAACTAGAGATGTGTTTTCCCATAAGAACACAGAACATTAAAACTCTTATTGAGAGCTAAATGTAGGTCATCCTAAGCCTGCTCTTCTTTCTTCAAAAATGTTTTTCTTCCCCTAGAATGTCCTCTCGGCTTCTGACACTATGCAGTTTAGGGACTTTCTGAACCAGAGAGAGGATCCAGATCATTGTGTTTGATTAGATACCTACTTTCAAATAGTCTGCTGTTAAGGTATTCACTTGGGAATGGTACATTGAGACTTGAAGCTGAGTCTCTCACGTTCCACTTTCCTGCCTTAAGACAAAGGTACAAACTGCTGTGTGGGTCTTTTTCTGTCCCTTTGTATTCAAACAAAAGATAGCAGTTTTATTTTAAGTGACAGATAGAAAGAACTTTGAAATTCGGAAAAGTTTTATGTGATGCAAAAAATGTCTAACTAATCTTCGCATCTGACTGCTTCGTGAATATTAATTCATTTATTTTCCCCAAATCCTTGTGAGACGGATGAGTAATTGGAATTTCTACAATGGTTGCTAAGAAAATTTACAATATTTGAACTAATTTTCTGGTTTTAAAGAGAGGGAACAGAGGTATACAGTGATTAGGGTGAAAGCACATGGGTTTTTGAGCACACCTAATTTTTGAAAGTATGTAGCACTGTATGTCATTTTATGTACTCAAGATACATGTCCCATTTACTTTATAGATAGCTGAAAATGTCAGCATGTCTACTAATCTAACTGTTGAGTTTGAAATCATGCACCTTGAAATAAGTGACCACCTAATGATCACCTACAAAAAGTCTGAGTAAGTACTGTGGGTAATATTTAAGAGAAGGCATTAGACTCTGGCAAAGACAGGGAGAGAGTGCAATTTGACTTGGCACCTAAGGTACTTCTGCTGTGAAACCACTGACGTAACACAAACAGTCCACCTTCATTCACTACTTATCTTCCAACCTTTTCTAGAAAGAAAATGCAGTTTTAAAAACAACAGGTCACTATGCAAACTTGATTTCATTCCATAACAAATTTATCTTGTACAGTGAAGGTGGTAAAATTCCAGTAGAAAAAAAACTTACGTGATCACACAGCAAGAGACTGTATCATAATATAATGTATACAAGTAGCTGAATGCAAGCTGTTCAGAGAACTTTTTTTACATTTGTTAAACTTTTGAGTGTTTTATTTTACAATTTAGGAATTTTACTAACTTATATCTGTGAGTAAAGTTGGGAGGGGGGTTGTTTTGGTTTGTTTTTTAAAGGAACCTGAAAATATTGAAGTGGAAAAATATGAGTTCATACAGATACTTAAGCCACCAGAAAGGACCACTCCAGAGATATCACTGTCACTATTGTTTCCTCTTTATACCTGGCAAACCAGTGTAAGGTGTTTCCTCTTTCCTATCTGGTGCAGGCTCCATAGCTCAGCTCCACTGTCTTTGACCAGCAAGTCATAGCCTCACATTCTGGACTTTCCTTTCATTCTTGGTCTCTCATACCTATTCAGACTTCCAAGGCCCAGCTTGCACTTCCCCGTACACTTCAGCTTCTAGTTCTAGTTTCTATTACACTTAAGTCTACTTTCCCAAACAACCTCCTTTTCTTGCTATAGCTGGCTCCTTTCCTTTCTCCATTCCTCCTTGGCTAAGAAAGCAAATCTCTGATAGCAAAGAAAAATCCAGTTTGAGCACCCAAAATTACAACTAGTCCAATGATAGTAATTTTAAACTACAAGTTATAGTGTAAAAGGAATCTGCAGGGAATTAGCTGCTAGAGTCTGCAGAGATTTGACTAAGTACACATCACAGCGATTTTCTAAGACTGTTAAACTTTTACCACAGGAACAAACAAATTAATCTTTGATTTTGTTCTTGCAAAATGTTGAACAGTTTAGGCTGATGTTTAAAGAAAATCAGCCTGAGGGAGATGCCTAGCATTGAATTTTTTTTATCGAAATGGTTACGGTAAGGCAAAGAAGGCAGTCTTAATAACAAGTAGCAGTACCAGTTCATTGTAACTCTCAAAATTCATCATGAAGTTGTTACATAATAATACATAAACATATATAAGCACATAAAAAGAAGGAAAAGGAAAAAATAAATCATCTAACAATACATACATTCTATTTCTCCAACTACAGGCAGCTAAATCACTGTGACTGTACTTATTATATATCAAATGCACTAACCTCCACTTTGTCCCATTCCACCCTCCCTATAATGTACCAGCTGAATGCAAACATATGCAAGAGAAACAATGTGAAAGACTAATTGAAAAGGAACACAATCTTAAAAACACTTGTAATTGCACACATCACATTTCTACCGTGCTATTTTAGTATTTCAAAATTTGGGTGCAGAATTATCATAAATATAGGCTTAGTTCTACATGGCTCTTTTGAGTTCCCTTTGAAAATGTTACCCATAAGCTTGATTTAACCTCTTGTCAACCACTTACATGCTCATCTTTCGGGACTGACTCTCCTTATTTCCATTGTTCTTTTGGTCAGCTGAGTTAAATAAGTTGCGAGAAGAACTGGAAGGGAAGGCAGCATTCCCACTATTACCAGTAGAATGAGTCCGGAATGAATCATCTGAAATAAAGAGTTGCAGTTTAGACAAAGAATTTTGTTTGAAAAAAAATACACAGAGTGAACAGAACGAGCTGTTTTTCCTGTGGCAATAGTGGCATATTTCCTATGGCAATAATCCAAAAGTTTAACTTTTGTGAGGGAAATGGTTTCAACTTAACATTTCATCAAGTATTTTTATGAAAAAACACTAAATAAAAATAATTAGAAGACACATTTTGGAAAAGAAGATTAATACATTTAATAGATGAAAATAGTGGGATTTAATTGGCCAATCTTTAGCTGCTTAAAATTTAGCTATTTCATCTAAGCAATTGTCTAGTGTCTATTAGTAGTGAATGGAAAAAGACAGGTTCCTCTAGGAAGCAATTCATCTCATTCTAATCTTTAATCGTCCAAACAACAGCAAATGGGGAGAGGGGCATTTCTCGACAGCAGTCTCTCTCCCCTAATTCAGTAGAATTTATGTATAATATCCCTTTCCTCATGTAAAATGGGTGGAGCCAAACTGCAAAACCAACTTTTTTTATGACATCCAAAATGCCAATCGAGAAATGATAAACTCATTTTACTTTTACTACTTTTATATGTAACTTTAAACAAACGTGTAACAAAAAAAAAAAGAATCTGAAAACTAGACTAGCATTGAAGTGCTGAAACATATTGGATATTTATTATTCTACGTTCTTTAGGAGTATGATATTTTACAGTATGCCTGTTTAATGGGGCCCACATATTCAGCACCCACACAAAAAACAAATGTAAAATCTAATATAATAACCTACTTACCACTAAAGAAAAACATACAACTCTTTCCCATTCCTGATACTGAAGATGTATATCCTGTAGCAGAGCTTTTACTTAAAAAACAAACAAAACAAAACCAAAGTGCTTATTACAGAAAAGTGTTCTTCTCAATTTTATCATGCTGCTGTTTAATATTTGAGGATATTTCTGAGTTTATGTGAAAAAATGAAATGAGGAAGTTATGCTGAAATTTTCTTAAGAAACATACGAATTTAGATTTAGCAGTTCATATTGAAAAATATTTTTAGTATATGATAAAAGGTGACACACTAACTTAAAGGAATTCATAAGAATTTATAGGCCTCAGCATGCCTCAAGTTGTGCCAGGGGAGCAACAACGGCCTCAAGTTGCGCCAGGGGAGGTTTACATTGGACGTGAGGAAAAATTTCTTTACTGAAAGAGTGGTGAAACATTGGAAGAGGCTGCCCAGGGAAGTGGTTGAGTCCCCATCCCTGGAAGTATTTAAAAGATGTGTAGATGAGGCACTTAGGGACATGGTTTAGTGGGCATGGTGGTGTTGGGTTGACGGTTGGACTCGATGATTTTAGAGGTCTCTTCCAACCTTTATGATTCTATGATTCTATGCCTTAAGATGGTATTTCTTCCCGCAGTTCAAAACTGCATACCTTAATCAATTAAACAGAAAGCTGAAAATTTAGGTCACAATTCAGCGAGCACATCACTACTTTCATAGATTCATGTGCATATAGTTTCTTAACAGTTGTCTATTAGGTAAACAGTTGCCTATGAGGTAAGCAATGAAGACAATAAAGATACTTAGGACACTTGTCTATGTTGCTGTATTTTGGGTGTAGTGCTTGAGTACTGAAAGACTGGCTTCGAACCAACTTGGATTTCTTGTCGTCTTTGCCTAAAATGAAAAGTAGCAAAAATTTTTAACGTGGATATCATTGCATTTCCTCAGTAATTAAAAACACTTTTTAATGTAATTTTCTGTCAACCTATGCTAGCTGAAGGAACTGATTTAAATACTTCAATAACAATAAATAAACCTTATGTTACCTATTTATATACTAAAGAATAAAAGAAAACTAAAAACCACAGAAAACGCATTCAGTTCCAGCAGTGGAATCTTTTCTTCTGTGCAGTAGGTGAAACTCTGGCCCACAAATTCCAACAGCAGCTTTGCTGGGTTTTAACCTGCTGATGTGAGATCAAAGCATTCTAGAAGAGTTTTTAAAGAGTTCTTACCTGCTGATGTGCCAGAAGAGCTTCCAGGAACAGAGAGTGTGATACTTTTTGCCAACACTGATGATGTTTTACTGTCTCTACCTAAAAAAAAGTCTAGTATAAATACTTCTCTCTTAAAGTTTACCTTTAAATAAAGAAAGAGGACATAACATATCACAGTCCTGGGGTATACAGTAATAATATCTAACCCAGGGCTACTAACACTTCAGAAATACCACAGACAAGTACTTACATTACATCCCAAAATGAAAAACACCAGAGAACTAAAACTGTCATGTATTTTACTAATAAAGCCAAAAGTCTTTCTTCTAATACAATGAGGCCAGATTTCCTAAATATCTTTAGAAATATAAAAAAAAAAAATTATTGCCACTTTCTAAAAATCTGCTATTTAAAGTGTCTCTTTTCTGATCACTTCTCTTATCATAGAATCATAGAATAGTTTGGGTTGGAAGGGACCTCTAAAGGTCATCTAGTCCAACCCCCCTGCCGTGGGCAGGGATAGCTTCAACTAGATCAGGTTGTTCATTCTGGTCCTTCTGGGAGGCTGAAGTCCTGGGGGCCTTCGAGAGCA